ACACACACACACACATACACACACATACACACACACCGCGTGCGCGCGCACGCACACACACACACACACACACACACACACACACACACTTGTTTGTGCATCACGTCAATTGTAGCACCCTGTTTTCTGTTCCTGTAAGACATACACGTGACCCCATTCTGACCCCGACGGTGACCCCGGATGCTCCATATCAGGTCAAGCGGTAACAGTTCGAAATGGCGCACACAACTTAACTTTTCCCCACTTTTCCCCACAGATAACAATGGCGTTATTCTCCCAGCTATTGCTGGTGCTATCGACCTTGACCCTAGCAAGGTCAGCGACACTGGGATCGTCAGTAGTTGACGGACTCGACTTTTCCAGCTACCATGACTACCCGGCCATGAAGAACGCGCTGGAACGCCTGGTGGCAAAGTACCCCAGCCTGGCCAAACTGCATGAGATCGGGACCAGTGTCCAAGGGCGGAAGCTGTATGCCATCCAGGTGACTGAATATTGTATAATCCTATAATATTTTATCCGAGCCTGCTCTACTGGCACTCTACTGTATAAGCCGACCCCCTTGTACAAACAGCCGCTTCTAATTCCCTCCATTGCCTATTATTTACATATTAACATGACAATAGTAAAGACTGCCACCTATCTAAGACACCAACTTTCGCTCTCGACAATGAATGGCCGTCTCATACAGTTTCGACGGTACCTAGCCCAATTTGCTCAATCGACCACCTGTCCAAGACAATCGCATGTACATATACGACTAACCCCAACTTCACCTCTTGCGTAATCTAATTTCTATGATGATACTACTACTCAACAGGACCACCTGCCTAAGATGACCACTTTTCTTCTCGACATTGGTCTTTGAAAGATTCGACTGTATCTGTTTACGTCTCCATCGGTAGAGTCTGCCTATCAGGGCTACCTTGGGCTGAGTGGGATGCAGAACCCAGCAGTTTGTTTGAGTAAAGAGAAGCAAACGCATCGACACATTAGTCATAGTTTAGTGCTGAGAAAAAGTAAGAAAGACAGAAAGAAATAACAGAGGGTGTGATGACAATGATACATGTATAAAGAAATGTGAGAATACGTCGTGGTAATGGCAGCATTATGCGCTCTCTCTCTCTCTCTCTCTTTCTCTCTCTCTCTCTCTCTCTCTCT